GGGTTAGATTGCGTCAAGTACCCAACCCAACCCGAAATTACATCATCTGTTTTAAATTTATCTATGCACATATATTCTTCATTCACTTAACCCAACCCATTCCATCCCATTCCAACCCAACCTAACCCATCCCAACCAAACCCAACCCAACCCAACCTCACACGAAATCAACTCATCTATTTTATATTCATCTATAGATATATATTCTTCATTCACTTGAGCCAACCCAACCCATCCCTAACAGATCATATACTATGTCTCCATAAAAATGCGTGGCATGAATAAATGAAACTAGAGATAACAGAATTCTTTTACATGCACATCTTTTCCCCCAAGTACCATGCGAACAGTTTTACATATAGTCCTACAATGTATGTCTATGTTTATGAAGATAAGCACTGGATGGTTTTACATTAACACCGTTCTTGTAAATCATCGTCCACTTGATGTGCAGCCAAATTTGAATTTCCTGGAAAGCGGAATTTACCATGCCCTCCTCTCTTCCCACGCCCACACCCTCGCATAAAGATGTCAAGTTGCTTTTCGAAACAGACACAAAAGATTCTAAAATCACTCTCAATATTTATTCAATCGCTCTTTTTCTGTAAATTGTTTCTTCGTAGACAACCACATTCATTCAAATTAGCTAGAAGCTAATAACTAAGTTGATGGTACATTTCATTGTAAATCAATTCTATTTATACGAGCCAATCATCAACATATGCAACTAACTTATATAACTTTAACTGAAAAAGGTTTAACTTTCTTTTTTTAAGTTATTTATATCCTCCGAATAAAAGTCTTTCTCCTCTTTGTTTTTATACTATCATACTTTGCATAAAATTTATGACCAAATAAAGATATGACATAAGAGTTTTATTTCAGTGTGATCTGTACCATATTGAAATAAAACTCTTATGCCATATCTTTACTCGGCAATAAATTTGATGCGAAGTATGACAGTATAAAAGTGAAGAAGGAGAAAGACTTTTGTTCGAGGATGTAGTTATATAGAACATAAATGTCACTACTGATAGATCGTATTCTTTAGAACAAATAGTGCCGCGATAAATCGCATAAAAATTTTAGGATATGTTGTCCATATTGTTTTAATAACACTCTTTTAACCAATGATTGTTTTCTTTTTTTTACATTAAAACATTATCCGCTTCTTTTCCATTGTACGAGCCCGGGATAAACAAAATAAATTCGTTTACTAACGATGCTTTGGACAAAAAAGGGTTGAAATTAGAATTTGTCTTTGAGATCACGAAAAAAATTTGACATCTTTTAGGGACATAATAAAAGACCCCGAGTCTTCTAATGTGTTGAGGGCTTTACCGCATAGTTATATAACAATTGGGATGGGATCTCAAAGAATGGCCCTAGGAGACTTACTGAAAAATACAAAAATCTGAGCCCTATTCTACAGGAAACGTACCCAAGTTCGCTTAGAAATTACTTGAAGAGTTTCATCAAATCAGATGAAACTCCTTCTAGCGTAAATTAGCATGCGATGCTCTATCATCTTCCATAAAAATATCCTTTCAGAATGAAACAGAAATTTTTTCAAAAAGTTCCCGTAGGAAGGTACGAAGATTTTATAGAGAAAGATTCTCCATCAGAAATCTTAAAGGAGGTACGAGAATTTTTCGAAAAGCAGTTTTTTTCGTTTTGAAAAGGTATTCTTATAGAACGTGATAGATGATCATATGCTGATTTACACTAGATAGAATCTACCTGATGCAATGAAGTTTTTCAAGTAATTTCTAAGCGAACATGAGTATGTTTCCTGTGGAATAGGGTTTTTTTTTTTGTATTTTCCAGTAAGCTTCCTAGGAATATTCTTTGAGATTCCATTCCGATTGTTACATAACTATGTAGTACTCAATGTGTACTTTGAAACCACACCAACTCGGGTTCCATTCAAGTGTCGGCAGTGGAAATTGGATCCTCCTAAAATGGTGATTTTGGTCAAAATCATGGTTTTGTGGGAGATCTTCTAAGCGGTAGGAACCATGTGGAAAGCTGAAATTTTTACTAAATTATGTACTCAATGAGGTCTCTCCAGGGCCAATATTTCAACTCTCCAACACTATTCCTTCATAAGATAGGCATATGCACAACATACTGGAAAGTGATTATTTTCGTGTGTATCTGGTACTATTGCGCAATTCTTCAATAATTTACTCATTTGAGCCCGTGTTTTTTTTTCGGTAATACGCAATTATGACATCTACTAGTAGTAAAAGTTTCAAGTCAATTGCATGTATCCTTGATGAGACATAGATGTCACAAAAAATGACAAAAAATACACTTTTTCTGACGACAGTGCCCTCAAAAAAATTTCAATATCTTGAAAACAGAATAATATTTTTTAAAATGATTTGCGTCAAAATTCTTAGAACTCTTGCCTCTATAACATATATTCAATTGAGCAAAATTGGACGACCTCGATCGAACAGCTTTTGTGAATACCGGTCGTGGCTTATGTGGATTGACTCATAAACAAGATAGTGATATTTGGTGCTAACACTTGTCCAGGTAAATTTCAAGATCTCGAAGTTTTGATTGCATATTTAAGTAGTACTAGGTTCATAATCTTTGAGAAAAAAGAATCAGCAAATTCTATCACACTGATCTAGAGAAAGCCTATCGTGAAGATAGGCTATTTTTGATCCTAATATAGAGGGTAATCAGGGATAACTTCAAAAAATTCTGTAATACTTTTTGAAGATATGAACATTATTGAATATGATGGTTGTATTCCACATCCTAAAATGTATATCTGATTAAAAATTCAGAGCTCTATCGTGTGCTGGTGATGAGATATTGTCAAAATAGCTTATACAAGAGATTGATCAAATATTTCTCATATTAACAAAATTCTATTTTGGGTGTTATTAGTTGGATGAGCGTATCTCAGTCAAAGTTCAACCTTTAAGTCTAAAAATTTGGTTCTATACCTAAACAAAAAGTTGCTCTACAAAATGGGATGACTTTCATCAAAATCTGAGACTATCGATTGAGCACGATCGGTCGCGGCTTTCGTGCAGTGATTCATAAACAGGTTTTTGCTAATCCATATATGTCCCTTTACGAAGATGCTAAAAGTTATCGTACATGATAGTTTTGTAGAGCCAACACTTCTTTACAAAATGTCATATTGAATTAAGCTGTAGCTTTTACACAAGTGAAGTTATACGCATTTTATCAGGAGCTCCTTTTTATGTAAAACATCTTTTGGTCAAAAAGTCTATTTCCCAAAAATGAGGTTGCAGGCAAAACAAAAATTGAGTTGTCTTGCCCAAAGATCAAAAAAGTTCAAATAGTACATTTTTTAGGGCAGATTTATTCTACCAGTTGATAGAGTAATAAAGATTCTAAGTTTTAGTTTCGAATTGCAATAGTTAAAATATTAAAAAGTGCGAAAAAATTTCCTATCCCAACTAATTTTTTAAGCCTTTCAAAGATTCCTTCACCATTCTCGAACAAAAATTGACAAAAAATTTATAAGTCCATATTTAGAAAGAGCACAAAATTCTGCTTCTAATCCATAGATTTCGTCTCGTCTGAAATATTTTCAAGTGGACCAAAAGTGAGCAAATCTTTTCTGCGAAAACTTTCGATCCACCCCATTATTTAGATATAAACTGTTTAATAATTGAATTCAGATTTCGGCTTCCAGATATTTGAAAAAATCTCGACTCCATATCTACACTTACATACAAGGAGTCACTTTGTTTATGTACGTATGTGTTTCAAATAACTCTAATCTGTCATTATATTACTTATCTGTATTAGAAAGGAGCAAGAAGTGTATATATTATCGCAAGTCATTACTGACAAAGGTTTTCAATCTCAATCTGGTACTTAAAAACTGCATAATGCTTTGGCTTGTAATATTAATCATTTTGGGAATAGTTTCGTTTATAATTTACAAGAAACAGAGTAAACCAGCGGAATTTGCTTCAAATGTTTCTCAATACGATCATGTCATAATTATGGGAGGTAGTATCGGAGGAATTGTGACTGCTGCTTATTTAACGAAATACTTCAAACGAATAACAATTATCGAATCTGATGATGTATTAGTGAAATACTCATCAGCGACGTCCAAAAATTAATTTACTTTCGTTTAGATCAGATATGTTGACTTTTCAGTAAATTCAATCATTTCTCACATTCAACACTCAATATACCTCTTCTTTCTGCTTTTTTCTTGATAAGTTTTGTTTTCAAAACCGGAAATCGATTTGATAAATATATATCTTTAATCCTACCTACAATGTCTTTTTTTTGTTAATAAGAGTTTCGTTGGTCTGTATTGACTTTTTTAACGAGCAATTGAAATAAGAATCCTATGAACAGTTTGCACCTTACTGTGATGAATGTCTTTTAGTAGCAAAAAGTGATAAGTGTGCTCTTAATTATTTATTATTGGATCGTACATCGGTTTTTCCGGAAATTCTCGAACTGATATCTGTTGGTACTTGCCAAACTCAAAAGCGACTGAACAATGATCAGTTTGTTATATCGAGCAGAATGGCAATATTCTGCTTTTGATAAGAAGTTCACAAACACGGTAACAATCTTACTTTATTTGGTGACTATCAAAAGTGATTTTGAAATGTGTAAGTGTATAGTCCTTAAGAATATGATATTTCAATTAGAAATAATTCCTTAATAGATATATTTAAAAAATAACGGTATTTTATGGATGTATTTGGGCCTTTCAATGACTGTTTGTAACTTGAATGAGTATTGATTTGTTTCTGAGTTTTTAATCTAACTTTAATTTTTCATTATATGATCTAGTCCATTGGTTGACATAGCCAGTTTTCATCTCTCAATTTCAAAGAAGAAGTAAAAATTTAACTATAGACATCTGAAGTTTTTAAATTCTCATTCTTTAAGTAAAAATGAATATAAACTTTTACGACCGCATTTTCTTCTTTGATCTCGACGTCTGTTTAGTATGATCAGTAAGTGATACATTTATGAAATCTACACCCAATCAACTATTAGATTATCGTTGTCGTCTTGGAAGTCCAACATCATTAGGACGTTCAGGTGTTAGTCAAATGTATCATTTAAATGTGCTTGAAGGTGAAGGACATAAAATATTACAAGAATTATTTCCCCAACTAAAAGATAAATTATTAAATGAATATGATATTCATGAGTATTCATTTAAAACCCACTGCAGATTCATTGTCAATGGTTTCTTATTAAATCAAGATTTAACCGAAGATTTTCTCTTGTTGAATATTGATCGGTTTACATTAGAAACAGTCATATGAAAAGAATTGTGTTTACAATATGAAAATCAAATTGAATGGAAATGTAATTCAAGAGCAGTGCAACTAATTGTCGATCAATCATTAAATATTGTTAAAGATATAAAATATCGACAAAAGCATCATGTTGATTCATCGTCGATTGATTTGTATGGTGATTTTATTATTAATTGTACTGGTCGAAATACATCATCAGTCAAATGGTTAAAAGAAAGTTTTAATTTAATTGTACCGGCTATACAAATACATTTTGGTTTAGATTATGTTACATTTATTGGTGAAAGATTTAAAACTGGAGATCCATCGCTGGATTCAAAGCATATAATTGGTTACGCACTTAACGCTCCCGATAAAAATGCAGGATTTGGTATAACTCCAATACGTGAAATAAAGACAATGGATGAAAATTCCTTAGGAGCATTATCAATACTTCTGCTTCAATGCGTTAATTACGAATATCCATCAAATGATTCCTATGAAAATTTATTAGAGTGGATAAAAGAAAAGTTGGATCCAGAATATTATTCAATATTTAAATCAAAAAAAGTATGTAGTCCATTAGTTTCATATCGTCGTATGATTGATGATCGAAAGCGTGTTGGACAATTAGGTAAAAAGTGGCCTCAAAATTATGTATTATTGGGTGATGCAATATGTACTTTTAACCCTACATATGGGCAGGGTATGACACATGCATGTAGACAGGCAAGAGAATTAAGAAAAATATTTCAAGAGAATTGTCATAAGTTAAAAGATATTTCTCACATTTTCAATCGTCGTGCTTCAGCAATTACTGAAGAATGTTGGCTTCTTTCGACCACAAATGATTGGAAAACACTAACATTAAAAATTATAAAGGGTGACCCAGAAGTCCTGACTCGATTTGTATAATAAATTATTTTATATTAAAACACATACTTAAAAAGTTGTCCCTATGATAAAAAGATGCAGTAAAAGACGCTCTACAAAATAGCCTATGACTGATCCTCTCTGATTCATATAGCAAGAAAGTTATAAGCTTAGAAATATGCGTCACAAAAAATAAAAATTAACCACGAATCTCGTCTATAAGTTGGTAGTTCCAGTAAAAGTCCTATAACTTCATCGAAACAAAAGCTTTATATGAGCTGTTGATTTTTGACGTATTCTTGAAAGTTGGTTCTTCAGCATACCATCTTTTCTCAGAACAATGTTCTAGAGACCACAAGAAAGAGCATATTTGAAAGTGCCAAATTCAATTGAATTCTTACTTGTGCTACGCTTTTTTATCGGAATAATAGGAAAAGAAAAAGTTCAAGTCGAAAAAAATGCCAAATTCAGAAAGTTTTTATTTTTTGTGTCTCTCGTATAATGTGCTTACTTGTCTTGATTGAAGTTTTGAAGTTAAAGTCTATGTATGATTTTGTAGAGAATTTCACAGCGTCTCTATTAAGAATAGTATTGCTCTAGGCAATCTAAGAAACAAAATTTATGGTAAAAATACTAAGATTGAGTTCACGGTTAATTTTTATTTTTTGTGACGCATATTTCTAAGCTTATAACTTTCTTGCTATATGAATCAGAGAGGATCAGTCATAGGCTATTTTGTAGAGCGTCTTTTACTGCATCTTTTTATCATAGGGACAACTTTTTAAGTATGTGTTTTAATATAAAAAATTTATTATACACATCGAGTAAGGACTTCTGGGCCACCCTTTAATCACTGATAAAAATGGTGAAATTAAGATTTATCAACGAGGTGATGATTTTGCTTCTACCAAGAATCTTCAACCGCGAGAATCTTTAATGCTCCAGTTTATGCAGTGGTATAATCATTGGTTATCACAATGTACATCCAAATCTGGACAATAATCTACTGATTTTTATCGTGTTATGAATCAATATAGTAGCCCATTTATACTAATGAAACCAACAACACTTTTAGTAGTCTTTTATACTGCCTTTATCAATTATTTTAATTTATCGAAAAAATAATCCGCTTAACTCAAATTTTTGTTTTCTTCTTATAACTAATCTTTGGCAGATTGTAGTTTCAAACTTTCAATTCCCAGTAACCTTAAAATTAACGTGTCAAATCCTATAAAAAAACCTGTAAAAAGCCTTTCTCAAATTTTCAATTTGCGAGGGTATGGGTATGGGTGTGGGTGTGACTGATAATTTCGTGGAACTTATACATCCTACACCCATATCCACATTCAATGATACAAGCTGATAATTTTTCATTACCTTGAGATAGAAGTACTCATGTAAATATTTATTTCGTTTTTCTTTCCTTCTGTTCTTTTTCTGGCCATTGAAACGTCTACAGAACAAAGTACATCTTTTTCTTTCTTCTGTTTGTGTAAGTTAACCGTGTTGTTAACTTATCTAATAATCATTTCTTTTTATATTTATTTCAAAAAAAAAAAAGAATCTGTAACAGTCTACATATTTGCGTTATTAATTAAAGAAGATGACAACAATGACGACGAGTAATCAGACAAAAATGGTAATTATTACTTCAAATGAAGATCTTATTCATCAAATATGTTTGAATAAAACAGAAAACACTCGTATCATTGATTTGAATGAAAGCAATTCAACTAGTTCTTCAATATCTAATAATAACAATGGTTTACTTGATCTCACTTTTCTTGCTGAATTTTCTGAACTTGTTTGTATTTTTTTTGTTAGAAATATTATTTTTTATTTATGATAAAAATTCTTAATCTAGAATTCAACAAATGATCAAATATACAAAGGAGTTCTCGATTCTCGTCAATATAGTCGATCAAAAGTATTAAAAAGGTCGAAAAAAGAAAGCAATCTTATTTGTGTTATTTGTGAAGATGATGCTATTGGCTTCAATTACGATGTTCTTACATGTGCATCATGTAAAGCATTTTTTCGTCGAAATGCTCAACATAATTTGGTTTGATTTTTCATCTTTGTTGTTTATATCTTTTTTTTTATTTAATTTTTGTTCAGGAAAAAATTCGTTGTCGAACAGGACAAAATAGATGTCCAATATCTCATAATAATTATCGTAAATGTCAACGATGTCGATTAGAAAAATGTTTTGCTATGGGTATGAGAAAAGATTTTATATTGAGTGAAGAAGAAAAACAAAAACGACGCGAACGTCTTGAAGGGAATCGACAATTGGTAAATGAACGTCAATCCTCTACAGAATCGATTTCTTCATCAACAAATCAATATATTTCAGAATCACTTTCCGAAATCGATCGTGTAAGTTATATTTGTTAATGAAAGTTTTTCATTGACAATTTTAAAAATTAGATAGAAGTTATCAAAAATAAGAAAAGTTAAATATGAAAATGTATTATGTTTTATTTATTAGAACATCGGTTGACTGCGAAGTAATTCATATAATAAGTAACCAATCCTTATAGAAGCAAAAGTCTACCTAAAGTTACGATAGTAATCTTTATCCAGCATTAAAATCTTTATTTTAAGGCTTCGGACATATATCAATCATTTACTCATTTAATCAGTGTTATTTACTTTTATTTTCTTTCTATCATAGATCTTATTTGTACACAAGAAAACTCGTACAAAAAAATCGTTTTCCGAATATTTCATCAATCGTATGAATATTTTTCACATGCATGATGTCTAATGAGACATATAGAATCACGTATAGTTACTGCAATTCAATATCGTTACAGTTCGACTATAACGCTATCTTGCTGTCATTTTCGTTCATCTCTTCAATACTATATTTTCAATCCTGTACATAACTCGAGAAAAGAAAAATGTATAAAATAGTCAAAAGTTGATGAAATTATCCTAATTCTCAAAGAGTTCTATAAGAATTAAGATGAAAATGTTTTAAAATAAAGATCTTTTTAAATGAACATCGAAAAAAATATCACAAGGAAAATAGTAAATTATTTATGGTTTGTAATGTTTCTCTATTGATAATTGCTATCGTTCTTATTCATAATTAACAGAAAAAAAAATTTTCGTTAAATAATGCTTATCAATATCATATTTTAATGAAATCGAATATAGATCAAAATGAATCAATATAAATATTTTTCTTTAGCTTTTAATGGATACAGACGAGGACAATCCTGTTAATGATGATAAAACCGATTTAGATGAAAAACAAAATATATCATATGAGCGTATATCAATGAAAGATTGGTCGGACATTGAAAGTATTAGAACAAGTTATTTATCAATATTTCAAAATCAAAATTTGTTATGTCGTTCATTTGATACATCTGATCGTAATTCAGCTTTAATATCTTGGTCACAGTTTGCAAGTCAAACTGCTTTGCAATTAATTCATTTTTTTCAACAAATTGACGAATTTGAAAATCTAAATATTGATGATCGATTTACATTGACAAAATATAATCTTCTTCCTCTATATATGATACAAAAATGTTTTAATTATAATCCATTAACAGGAACATTTATCAATAGAAGAAATGAAGATGTTTTAAAACGTCGTCAATTTTTTGCATTATGCTATGGAACAGGTGGTATTCGTGAGAAATTTATGAATATGATTCGTTCTTTGTCAAAAGTAACTGAACAAGATTCAGTTCTACTAAATCTTCTTCTTGTAATATTATTATTTTCGAAAGGTTTATCAATGAGTGAAAATGAACCTGCTTTGAATGATGAAATTGCTGTTAATCGAGCTCAATCTCATTATATAAAATTGACTTGGAATTATTTAGTATATAAATTAGGTGAAAAGAATACTTCAAAAAAATTTATACAAATATTAACTGAAATTGAAAGACTTCAATCATTTACAAAATATTTTCGTGAATTTTTTCTTACACAAACCAAATCAAAAGATACATTAGAACGTTTTGCACCACTTATACAAGCTGTTTTGAATATTAACTAATTTTATTATTACTATTCATTTAACAGCTTTTCTTTTCGAATTTAAAAAGAAATTTTCTTTATTTGTTTAATTTAATATTTATGTCAATTAAAAGGTTTAAAGTATTCTTTTTAATCATGATTTAATTCTCTTTTTTTCTATAAAGCTACTTTTATAGAAGAAAATCGTTTATTGTACACTATACCAATAGAAATTTGTAGCTCGTAGATTTCCTTATTTCGAGTTGAGCCTATATGATAGTCTGAAATGCCATATGCAGCTAGAGACATTATTCGACTCTAAATATCTTTTCTTTATGCAATTATTGGATCGAAAAATTTTTTTTTATAAGAATCATATTTAATCTTTTTTCTTTTACTTAGCGTTATGTAAAACAGCGATTTTTCAAATCTTGATTACTTACTACCTCCCTCTTAGTTTGTCCAATCGAGCTGAAATTTTCCTACTAATAATTGGAAGTAGTCCCCAGAGGTAAAATCGAGCGTTTCCATTCTTGACGTTTCTACTCGGTGCCACCGGATTCTGGAAGCCAAGACCCAGAACCCAAATTCGAATCCTGGCGTATTTCTCTTATAAAAAAAAAGAAAGTGATATTGTTGGAAGTCCTTAAATTTATCTCTGAGGAATAATGTTAGGTATCTACAAACAAAATTTCAGTCTAATCGGACAAATTTTAAGGCGATCGTTATGTATCAGGATGAGGATCTCCGAAAAACCAGTGTTTTTCAGAACACTGTGCAAGAACTTCTTTAAAATTATTTTTCTTGAACACTCATCTCTTTGTTTTTAATGTTCTATCTGTTGTAAAAATTTCAGCTTGATCGGTTGCACTGTCTTCGAGAAGCAGCAAGTGTCAAAAAAAGACTGACAATAGCCTTAAATTTTTTTTGTAAAATTCAAATTTATTTTGTAATTTTAAAGAGAACAGAGCAAATTTATTGGTATTCAATAAGTTTATGAAAAATATTCTTTCTTTAATTGGATTTTATTATATTAATAGTTAAATGAATAGAATTTACAA